TGTATTCTACGATTTTTCTAGTCAAAAAAGCATCTGGAAAATTCAGGCCGGTTTTAGATCTCAAGTTCCTAAATTCCTTCGTAAAGGTGCTTCCCTTCAGGATGGAGTCGTTGGAGACTATCATATCTCTTGTCACCAAGGAGCACTGGCTGGTATCTATAGACCTGGCTGATGCTTATCTGCATGTGCCGATATTTCTCGGACATCAGCGCTTTCTCTGCTTTGCGGTGAACAACCGCCATTATCAGTTTCTATGCCTTCCATTCGGCCTCTGCACAGCTCCAAGGACCTTCTCAAAACTTCTGTCGGCCCAGGTGGCCATATTACGCATTTGGGGAATTCAAGTGTACCACTACCTGGACGATATTTTGGTCTTAGCCAATTCCAGATCTCAAGCAGTTCTTCATCGGGATCAGGTTCTGAAGTCTCTGAGGTCTTTCGGGTGGCTGGTGAATGAGCAGAAGAGCCCTTTGAGGCCATCCAGGCGGTTGGAGTATCTGGGAGTCGTGTTCGACACAGACCAGGCCAAGGTCTTCTTGCCCCTCAAAAAGGTGAGAACTGTCCAGAGCAGGGCTTCAGAAATGATGCGGACAACAGGTCCTTCGGCACGACAATGCATGAGCTTTCTGGGTCTCCTCTCTTCCACTATTCCGGTGGTGCCTTGGGCACGGTGGCGGAGGCGACTGTTCCAATTCAATTTTCTGCAACAGTGGGATCGCTCGTGCCTTTTTCAACGGATTCATCTTCCGGAATTCGTTCGCCAATCACTGAAGTGGTGGACGTCGGGACCGAATCTGACTCTGGGCAGGTCCCTGGAGGCGATCCAGTACATATCCGTAACCACCGATGCCAGCGCAAAGGGCTGGGGGGCGGTGTGTATGGGACACCGAGTGCAAGCTCGTTGGCTAGGTCAGGTTCCAGAGAGTTCGAACCTGTTGGAACTGGAAGCAGTTCGGGAAGCTTTGAAGGTGTTGTGTCCCCTAATCCGGGGGTCAGCAGTAAAGGTCTTCTCAGACAACAAGTCGGCAGTAGCCTACGTCCTGAAGCAAGGAGGGACAAGGAGTCTTCCTCTCCTTCAGATAGCGGTTCAGATATTCCGGTGGGCAGAATTGAATTTGCACGATCTGACGGCGTGCTATCTTCCAGGGACAGACAATCTCGAGGCAGACAGACTGAGTCGCGACTTTGCAGACCACAACGAATAGTCGGTAAATAGGTCTTATCTGATTCAAGTGTTTCGTCAGTGGGGAGTTCCGGAGATCGATCTGATGGCAACAGCCTCAAATGCGAGAGTCCCAAGCTTCTTCTCGCGGTTTTACGACCCGGCAGCTCTGGCGCAGGATGCCCTCAGACAGCAATGGGATTTTGGCCTAGTGTATGTGTTCCCTCCGTTCTGCATGATTCTCAAGATTCTTCTGAAGATTCGCAGGGAGAAGGTGCGGGCAATTGCGATTCTGCCCTACTGGCCGAGGAGGCCATGGTTTCCACTGTTGTGGCAGTTGAAGGTAACGGACCCGATGGAGTTGCCTATGAAACAGGATCTTTTGGAACAGGCAGGGTTCCGGCATCCGAATCTGAGACGGTTACGGCTCATGGCCTGGCTACTGAACGGGGCCGTTTAGAAAGTCTGGACATCTCGGAATCGGTAATCCAGACGCTATTAAGGGCTAGAAAGCCGGCCATGAATGAGGTGTATTCCCGAGTATGGGCCAGATTTCAGGAGTTTGCTTCAGGGAAACGATTTAATCCCCTCGACGCTTCGGTAGGCAAGATCTTGGAGTTCCTTCAACGGAGGTTGGACTTAGGATTAAGTTACAATACCTTAAGAGTGCATCTATCGGCTCTGGCATCGCTCACGGGCACTAGGTGGGCTTCACAGGCTCTCATCCCCCAGCTCATGAAAGGTGTGGCCAAGATCCGGCCTCCAAGAAGGGCGCTGTTCCCAAAGTGGGATGTTACGGCCGTCCTGAAGGCGTTGTTGTAGTGTCCGTTTGAACCGGCGCAGTCTTCTTCCATGTGGCATCTCACGCTACGCACCATCTTTTTACTAGCAATTGCTTCAGCCAGGAGAGTATCAGAGCTTCATGCCCTATCTATTAGGGAACCATTCCTGTTGGTTCTCCCAAACAGGATTCTGTTGAGACCTATGCCATCTTTTCTACCAAAGGTGGCGTCCAGTTTCCACAACAACTGGGACATAGAGTTATTGTCTTTCGATTCTTCGCAACTTCCTGAAGAAGAGGTGGAGTACAGCAAATTGTACTTAGTACACAGTCTGTCTGTGTACCTGGAGAGGACGGCAGAATTCCGCAAAGTGGATAACTTGTTTGTTCTGCCCACGGGCGCAAGGAAGGGCCTGGCGGCTCCTCCTAGAGTTTTGTCAAGATGGATTATAAAGGCTATATCCTTGGCGTACACGAAAGCAGGTCTTTCCCCTCCAACCGCTATGAAGGTTTATTCCACGAAAGGTATGGCGGCTTCGTGGGCCAGTTATGCAAGGGTGCCAGTCGATGCCATTTGCAAGGCAGCCAGTTGGAGCACTCCGAACACTTTTCTCCGGCATTATAAGATAGATGTGCGGTTTGGAACGGAGGATTCCTTAGGAGTATCTATTCTTTCAGCGGCCTTCTCAAAGGGGAGTGTCGCTTAGTCACATTAAATACTTTTGCAGATTCGTTTTGTCTGTTTGAGTTTTTTACCTCCCTAAGGGCATTGCTTTCAGATCCCACAGTAGGCTGTCATGAGGAGGGCCAGGAATACGGAAAATTGTTATCATACTTACCGTAATTTTCCTTTCCTGGCTCCTCCTCATGTCAGCCTGACGGTCCCCCACCATTTTTTGTGGCCGTCGCGAGTACTTGTTAGGGAACATAGGAGGGTATGGGAGGCCTCCTTTTATTCTCTATTAGGGAGGTCCTAAGGGGGGTCATGAGGGTGGAGATGACCCACAGTAGGCTGACATGAGGAGGAGCCAGGAAAGAAAAATTACGGTAAGTATGATAACAATTTTCCGTAATATAACCCTTCAACTGCCTTTCTGACACTGCTGTGTGAATTTAAGGAGTTTTGCCCAGTCAGTAACTTCAAACTTAACTACGCAAAGTCAGAGACCCTTGACATTTCTTTGCCGGAAGGTGAAAAACAATTACTCCATAGCAAATTTCTCAGGACTGCTATATTTATAATGGATATCATTCCAAGATATCTTTTACTTTATTCCAAACTGTGCCAGTGTGAATCCCAAGATCTTTTTTTCACCAAATCTGCTAGGTGGGATAGAAATACAACTAAGCCAACAAGAACCCCCAATTAAGATATGATATACTAATCAGATACAAACGAGAATTTGGAATTGGGCTTCCCAACCTAGAATTCTATTACCAGGCCAGCTTATTTACACACATCCTTTATCGCCATTATAACGAAGATCATAAGTTATGGGATACTATCGAAAGGCACATTTCTCCCATACTTCCTTTTTGTCATCCCTCGCATCCTCCAATCACATAGACCTACACCATAGAAGTACATTCCTTACTGTTCTGTCTACCGCCTTTATGGAAGTGTTGGGACTCTCTTATTATTACCTCCCAAATATCTTTCTATATGGGATCTATGACTCCAATATGAACTAACCTAGCTTTTACCTCAGTTCTAAGGCCAGACTCTTTCCTCTGCTGGCAACAGGGTGAGCCGCCCCATCTACACCTGGTACAAATGCCCTGAAACCGATGGCAGATATACACCCAGTTCCACAAACCCTCCTTAGAACCTAGTTCCCTTTTTTTCAACTGAGAGACTTTTATAACTCTGTGAAGAAAACTGCCTCCCCACACAGTCCTTCCATGGTGTTGGAAATGCTATGTCAAAAAAAGAAGGCCCTACACACACTATTTCCTTACTTTACAACCTTCTTTCAAAGACATATCACCCACATTATTCAACTGCTTGGGAAACAGGTTACAAATCACTTTGTCTCCACATAACATTGACAAAGCTTTTACTGTCACCCATAAACTGAACAGGTCTACTTCAGCACAGCAGAAAGCCTAAAAATCATAACTTGATGGTAGAAAAATGCCCTTTGACTTTAGTTGTCGGTTGTTATTCATTAGCAGGGACCTGCTAGAAGACTCTAGCAGGTGCCGGGCAATAGGAAACAGTTGGACGGATTATTTTTTCAACTTTTTCTTTAAACTCTTTTCATTGATTTGCTATTCAGCTCGGTACCACAGAGGTACCGAACAGAATAGCCGAGCGGCATTCAGCTATTCACTCACTGCCATTCGGCCCCTATGAGAAAAGGGACGAACGGTATCAAGTGAGCTGCCAGAGTTTTTGATCGCTAAAGCTTCCTCAGGAGGTTTATTGGAGGTTTTGCTCGCTAAAGCTTTCGCAGGAGGTTTATTGGTGGTAAAATGTTACCTCCAATAAACCTCCTGAGAAAGCTTTAGCGAGCGAAACGCGCCGAGGGCCGGAATAGTGCAATTACAGATGAAATAATGCTTGCCTTGTAAATATGTATGGACAATCACGCACCAAATGCATGACCATTACTACAAAATATATAATTATTATATACACCATGCAATTGCACTAAGTCTAGGGAGGTATATTTAATTATTTATTATCCACTATTTTTAGACCAATGAAATGTTTTTAAGTATGTTGAGATCATGGAAATAAAAATCTTTATTATAATATATATATTTATGACCAGTCATCATGTCTTGTTACCAAGTTTAGCCATGTTATCCCACATTCATGATTGGACACTTTTAATCACTTTGTTTTTTTTCATGTAAATGTCTTCAGTGTACAGTAATATGGTCTGTATTTTCCCTATTGCATGAAGTGATATTCATCTCTCTTCATGGCAACTGCACCCCCTTTATTTATGTTGAAAAAAATAATATATTATGATGAATTCATTAGCAGTCTTGTGCCAAGTATACTTTTAGATATCACTGTTGCTGTGGCATATTTTAAAATGTACTTACTTTATCCTGATGTATTTACGACATGGCACAGTATTTCTTACACATGTTCCTGTCAGGTAATCCATGTTTTCAACAATCACAAATGGTGCCTCTTCTAATGTAACCACACTGAGATGGTTGTCATCAGGCTCAATGTCCAAAGCACCTGAAATTCTGGGCCATACCGGGTATTTTGCATCCAGGCTTTTGTTTTCCCATTTTCCCACCTGTAAAATATATAAGAAACAATACATGCATTGATAGAATAGTGTTCATTAGTAATCAACTTATATCACTTATATCATTTTTCTTCTTGCATGTTTTGTCCAGAAAATGATAAAACATGGTAAATATGCACCTGTAATTTAATAGGAAATTTAATGTTCCAAAGCAGAAGGGCGGCATTGTCCTTGCATCTTTCAGTTATTAAAGTGATATTAAAGTCAAAAGGTTTTTAAGCTATTAGAAATGCTGCTTAAATTCCTTAAAATGTATGTAGCAAAGATAACCAATAATACATACATTTTATTTTTATTGGGATGGGGGGATTTTGCTTTGTTTCGGCTAAATTGTTTTGCAACAGTTTTTTTATTTTCTATGAAATCAATAGACAAAGTAAAACAAGTAAAAAAAACAGTGTTATTTATTTAACAAAAATTGTTTGACTGTAAATAGAAAGTATACAGTTTATCCTATTTAAAATTACACTAAAATGATGTTTCTGGTACAACGCATGGCAAAGTTATTTGAAAAAGAAAAAAAAAAGGTTTTTGGTTTTCAATTTTGCATTTTTTTAGTTATCTGGCAATGCACTTGTCTATCATCTAACAGGGGATAGTACAGGGTACAACATCCCAAGAAATATTACAACACTTAATATCAGTCAATATGTCAATATAAATATAGGTACCCACACTGCTACACATTGGGGAATGTATCAAAACTGGAGCAGACAGAATCTTGAGCAGTTGTGCGTGGTAACCAATCAGCTTCTCTCTTCAGTTTGGTCAGTTAAGGTTTTAAAATGAAAGGTGGATGTTGATTGCTTGCCATGCACAGCTGCTTCAGATTTTGTCTGCTCCAGTTCTGATAAATTCCCCTCATTGTATTTTGTTAAAAAATAAGCATTTTTTTTTACATCTGAGATAAACATTAGCTTGCTCCTGTGATGGACTGCAATCTCATGTTTAGTTTATTCATTTGTATTGAGATTGTAGTCTATCACAGGAGTAAGCTTGGAGCGGTGGCTACTTTACAACATTCACAGGAACCATGGGGAACAAAAGTAGCCAACCACCTGAAAGTAGGACAGTGTCAGTATGAATTCAGAGATGATTTGAGGATCTACAGCCGAGTGATACACTATCAGGTGCGTCCGCGGGCGAGTAGCACAGAGGGAACCCGCTGGCAGGAAGCAGCCGGAAGGGTCCGAAGGCAAGGTAACCAGGGGGCAATCCAAAGAGGTAGTCGAGGGTAATCCGAGGTCGAGGCAGGCAGCAGAGGGTCAGAAACAATAGGCGGTCCAAGGTCGGTACACGGGAGGTCAGCAGAGGGTTCAGGAGACAGGCAACAAGGCACATAGGAGGGGAGCTTCGTATGTCACACCATGAGGTGGAATAACTCAGCAATAAGCCAGAGCTCAGGCCAGGTTTTTATAGCCAGGGGAGTTAGGATCACCCCCCGGTCACCGAGGCAACCAGGAGGCTTCCTTCCTCGGGAACCAATGGCAGGCGAGAGAGATGGAAGGTGTGTACAGGGAACCTCCCCCAGCAAGGCTCACACCTGATGCCTAATGGAGCAGGAGTGCTACACACGTGCCACCGGGGATGCGCACGCAGCCTGCGTACCGCGCATGCACCCCCGCCGTGCGACTCGAGCATGCGTACCCGCAACCCGGGCACCAGGAGTTCTGCCAAGCTGAGGGGAAACCTGTGCCCTGCGCCGTGCCCGTGGCCCCCGAGCAGGGGCAACACCCCCTGCTTCCTGACATACACACATAAGATAAATTTTGTTAATAGTTACGGTATTTGAATGCATTTTTTAACATTTATCTCCTGAGTTTAGTGTTACTTTAATGTTTTAGTACATTTTTGAAATTACATGTTTGAAGTAAACCTATGTTTGGCCTATGAAGGACAATAGATTTGCTTTATGCATCCATTTTTTGGATTAGTGAGAGTGACGAAGTAAGTAGCTCTAGTAGTCTAATTACCCTCCTGTAACTGGCCTATCGCCAAGCACCAGCTCTGTTACATAAGAGTAGGTGTGAATCACATGTTTGTCCATTGCTGTAGCTGAATGGAACAATGGGGAAGCAAAGGGAAGGCATGTACATGCTTCTCAGGAGGGGTAAAAAAAACTGTTGCATTGCCCTGGCTGGATAAATAACAGGTTTTATTTAAGGCCAATTCTAGTCCTGTATGTTCCCCTGCTTTGTATAGGATTATATGATAATGGCTGAGGTTAGTTTGTAAGAAAGCTTGTTCTACGGGATCTTAGGACATTCCTCTAACTCGCACACAACCTAATCGTCTTAGAGCTGACTTGATGCCTTGCATATAAAAAAACAGAGAGTAATCACAAATGAGGTGGAGTTCAGTTATAAAACTATGGTAAGTCAGAACATACTTCAGTTTACTGATGAGCCGGTAATAACTCATTAAACATTATTAGATTGTAATGAATGTTGCAAAATCCATTCTATAAACAATGGTCTTGATCTATATCAATGATTCATGCACCTACATAATGACGCTACAAGTGTGTGTGCCCTTCCATGTATACCCTTCAGTATGAGCCTTAGTCCAACTTGTGTGGCTCAGATGATGGAAATGCTGCAGAATGTCACTCACCAGCAACAGGGTAACGCCTTGCCTTGCCACTTATCTGATGAAGAACCGTATCCCTAACATATCATGACATGAGCATTAAAGCTCTGTACTTAAGATTTGGTGGAATTTTAATTGTGTTTTTAATGAAAAAGGTGACCCAACATAAGGTAGGAAATACTGAAGATCTTCTTTTAATTTTTTGTTAACTTATAAATTAAGAGGCGAATTGGGAAAGAGGGATTTTATTTTATAGATAGTAACATGCTACGAGGTCCACACTATCATAATTCTTTTTATGGCCATACAGGTTGTATTTGGTGTGCTAGGCTGCTAAAAGTCCCAGGGTAATTAAAACCTTTGTGACCAAGCCAAATTTTGAGTTTTAGAGTGATCTGGTTTACTCAATAATAACTTTTGACCCACTTTGCATACCAAAATGATTTTGACACAATTATTAGGCACATGTAGGGTCTTAATTTGGTAATTTGTTTTGTAAAATACTCTGACTATATGAGATAAACAAGAAATAGAAAAAATGTGAATCATGCTGTTTTAGTTTACACTTGTACATTAAGCCGCACAAAACCAGTATCCATAAAATCCAGCTTTATTGTGATAAGTTCCAGATAGGATCCAAGATCAAACATGTATAGCAAATACACCACCACAGTATCTCTCCCACTCCAACGCCTCTCACGTGTTTCACCATCCGGGCTTAATCATAGAGGGGAAGTCTCTATTGTTCCAATTGCTTATATCCGTTGAATACCGCTCCACTTCACATGTGATCAGGAAAACTTAACCCATGAGGTTCATTATCTAGGTTGAAAAACAACCCTTCAAAAGATGTCCGTGGAGGGAACTACAAATTATATCTAGCCCCCTTTCAGCCAATCACACAGTACAGATAAGATGTGGAGCGGGGCGGAGACAAGGCTACTAAATTTAAACATGTTCACATTGGAGGTGAGGAGATTGAGGGGGGATATGATCTCCATGTACAAAATGTTCAATGGTGGCAGCAACATTAGCGATAAACTGTTTAAAATTAACTCCATTACAAAAACTAGAGGCCACCACCTAAAATTGGTGGAAAAAAAATTCCAGCACAAGGGGCGAAGGGGGTTCTTCACAGTAAGATCAGTTAGGGTCTGGAACTCACTGCCACAGGCGGTGATTTCAGCAAAGAATGTGGAATTGTTCAAGAAACTTTTGGACGATTTCTTAAGGGACCGTAATATACAGGGGTACAGGTACTCCTAGAATGAGATCCTAATAGGTTGGACTTGATGGACTAATGTCTTTATTCAACCTCAAATACTATGTAACTATGTAACTATGTAACCGGCAAATGGATACAAGCCATTCTCAATGTGAGAATTTTAAACGTAACAATGTTAAACATGATCAAATCATAGGAAGGAAGATAGGTGACAAATTCTTAGACACAAAAAAAGTATATATACATATTAATGTCGATAAAACAATGGGCTTATTGTGCTAATAAAGTAAATATATATATAAACTGTTTATAAAAACAGACATAAGTGAGCAAACTTCAACACAAGGTTATATGTATGTGAAAACAGTACAATAAATAATGTACTCATAGACATCTATTTTCATATAATGAGAAATATATATAGATACACAAATACAAAACTCACTGCTTGCATTATATGTGTATACATACTATATATTAACCCATCTCCTACCGTATTATGTTAAAAACATCCAGTTTATTAACAATAAAAATAAAACAATATTTCAAAAGAAATAAGACTTCAAAGATCTCTAGGACTGTTGATTAGCATTTTAATTATTTATTATTTGAACAATTATATGCGCATGACCATAAAATACTAAATATTAAATATTAAACATTAAATATGTATATATAAGTATAAAATATGAGGTAAAAAAGGTGAAATCCATAAATATATATACACACACACTTGCTCACATCCCTAGGTAATATATACATCTAATATTAATAAATAAAATAAACAATGAATTGATTAAATATAACCAGTATGGTTTACTCAATAATAACTTTTTACCTACATAGCATACCAAAAAGATTTTTCCACCATTTTTAGGCACATGTAGGGTCTTAATTTGGTTTAACTTGTTTTGCAAAATACTCTGAATATATTAAATAAACAAGAAATATGAAATATGCAGTTTTAGTTGTTTCAAGTGTAACTTTTTGTATAATTAATATTATTCAAAATATTTTCACTAAATGATTTCCTCATGAGTAGCAGGACATCAAATATGTGTAGGTTTTGATATACTGTATATATCAGTGCTGTGTGGTCAATAAGAAAGTGTGTATATTTTAGTCTTTAAGATATTAGACATTTTCCATTACTATGTTCTGATATCAATTAATG